GTTTAGATCTTTCAAAATATGTCAAAATAAGGAAAATATTTTTTTTTTCAAAAAAAAATAAAATAAAAAAAAATTTTTTTTCGAAAAAAAAAATTTTTCAAAAAAAGAGTAATTTTTTGTCCAATTTATAGTTTTTCAAAAATCTTATTTTTTCGAAGTAAAATTTTTTCAAAATTGTTAATCGTTTTTTAAAAAAAAAATAATTTTTGGTACGGGAAGTTCCAGCAATTTGCCTTAAGGCACGATGCCTTAATTGCCTTAAGACAGAATTCCACTTACAGCTAGTTTAAATCATATTTTATAAAACAAAAAAAACAATTAGAATGTTCAGAAAAAAATAATTAAAATTGCTCGGAACAGACAATACCCGAGTTTAGCTTAATTGTTTTTAAAACTAAAAATGATATTACAAGTATGTATAAACATGCATCTAATTTTTTTTTTTAATTTAATGATTTTTTTTTATTTAAAAATGTATTATTTTAATTTATTCGAAAACTTTCCTTTCACTATCATAAAAATATTTTTATTCTTATATGTGAAAATGATGCATGAACTAGCTGTAAGTGGAATTCTGTCTTAAGGCAATTAGGGCATCGTGCCTTAAGGCAAATTGCTGGAACTTCCCGTACCAATAATTATTATTTTTTCAAAAACGATTAACATTTTTGAAAAAAATTTACTTCAAAAAATATGATTTTTGAGAAACTATAAATTTGACAAAAAATTACTTTTTTTTGAAAAAAAATTTTTTTTTAATTTTTTTTTTTAATTTTTTTTTTTTTTGAAAAAAAATGTTTTCTTTATTTTGACATATTTTGAAAGTTCTAAACTTTTTTTCAAAGCAATCGTAGTGCTTTAACTGCACAAAGACGAAATATCAAACCGCGTAAGCGCCGCGTCGACGTCTAACGCGTAAACATTGGTACGGAACCCATAGGAATGTAAACCAAAATTATACTTATTGTTAAAATATCTATAAAATATCTGATAATTTGATGTGCATATGTCTAATGATCATTTTTGACCGCCAAATGGCATTTTTTTTACTTTTTTCATTAAATCTCTGAAACCGTTAGACCTACCTTCATGAAAATTTTATCGATTCTTCATCTTGTCAATACAAGTAAAATGTTTTTTGAATTATTAAAATCGGACGCTCCGTTCTCTTAAAAACTGAGTTACCGTTTTCGGCACTTTTTGCCCCGTATCTTCGGAACGGCTAGACCTGACTTCGCCAAAAACTAATCAACACATCTCTTTATCAATACGGATCGAATGTTTTTTGAATTATTCAAATCGGTTGATCGGTGTTCCCGAAATCGTCGACGAAAATTTGTATCCGCACATACATACACACACGCACATACATACACACACGCACATACATACACACATACACACACACACACACATACATCCATTTTTTCTAAGGTATGCCAAAATATTCAGAAACCTCTGAAACGTAAAGATATATATAAAAATTTTCATTTTCGATTTTTATGCAATTACTATAACTTGCCCTACGGGAAGTTAATAACGAATAATTATTTTCAAAGTTACTTAATCCAGATAAACTATTATTTTTTAGTTCTACTAATTAAAATTATAATAATTTTGTTTACTATCTATAAAGTTGAACAATAAATAAATTAAGTCAAATACTGATCTAAATTACACTAAATTTGCGGATAAATTACAGAATGTTCGAGCAAAAATTTATTTTCTATATAAAAATCGAAAACCGGTTAAAACCGGTTTTTTAGTAAAATTAAAATTCGAAAACCGGTTTTCTGAAATGTCGGTTTTTGTATAAACCCTAGTATAATTGATATTATGTATTTTATCATTATTACCGATATCCTGTATAAGAACTCCTTCATATGAGGTGCCTCTTGTAGCAGAAAGTCGTTCAAAAATTCCATAAAACCTTCTTTTCCTTGAAACTTTGTGAAATTAGCCAACGTCTGCAAAGTCTTTGCGACGAGTGTCAAATTTCTGGCTGCTCTGTCATCAGGATATTCTGAAATAGATTTATCGATTTGATGAAAAATTGTAAAAATTAAATCAGGGGGCGTCCATTAATCACGTGAACGATTTCCAAGAATTTTTAAAAAATAAAATACCCCCGCTTCCTCAACCAACATTACGTGTATTTGCAGTACCAAGAATAGATTGTAAAAATTTGAAATTTTCTTTTAACTAGTTGGTTTGGTATTTAGCCTTGAGGCAAGTTACATGAACTTCCCGATATGTGTAAATAATCGACTTAATAAAAAAAATGTGTAAATAATATACTTCTCAATCCTACTTAAAAAAAAACGATAATAATTTTAGCAAAGTTTGACGAATTTTTAAAATTAAACTACTTGTCGTAAGGCCGTAATATTACAGTAAGTTCTATAAGACCATGATGTATACCGACAAAAAAAGTTCCCATGAAAATCGGCTTAATTTTTTTTTCAACGGTTAATTACAAGAAAACGGCTCGGTAGAATTTCACCTAAAATTAATCAGTGTCATTCCCAACTAATATCTTTCGAACAGTTTTTGATTTTTTAAAATCGGTTCGGTAGGATGAGCTTAAATGTGGACGAAAATTTAACACTTTTTTTCAAATTGCAAAGAAACGGCTTGGCAGATCGTCACACAAAACTGACAAACAATAGTCCTCATCGAGATACTTCGAATAGCTTTTAAATTTTTGAAATCGGTTCAGGCGTTTTTGAGAAAACGGCGATTTACGGCAAACAATCTATTGGTGCACACGCACACACACACATACTTTTTCCAAATTTGGTCTCATTCGATTCAGAATGGCTTGAAACGTCGAGAAAACATAAAATTAGCGAATCGGATTTTTTGATGAAAACATAAACTTCTCCTTCGGGAAGTTAAAAATGTTCGATTTTTTTCTACATTGAGGTAAGGGGGCGTCCATTAATCACGTGATCACCTTTTAGTGATTTTTGGATCTCCCCTTCCCCTTGGTGATATCCAAAATTACCCCCTCCTCGTGAAAAAATTGTAATTTTTTTATTTTTTTTTAAATTTAGGTAAAAAAATAAATCTACATGATATCTTACTATAACACTCCCTTCCCTAGCTGATATTTCGTGATTTTTTTACAATATTATTACAATATTATATTGTAATTTTCTTACCATTTGTGATGTTAAACAAACTAGGCGACAATATAGCTGGACATAAAAATCTCAAAAATATCGAAGCTGAGATCAGATTGTCAGCCATGTCTTGTCGATTTAATTGTGCAAGCCTGCAAGAAATAAATCAATAACTTTCAGTAATTAAATTAAACATTTTTTAATTTAAAACCAAAAAATTGTTTTTATACAAACAAGTATAAGTCCATTACATTTTTTTTCTTACCTTCTTCTAAAAGTGGCAAAGCATTCTCGAATCTGCAAAGGAAATGCCTCATGACTATGTTTCACCGAAGTCCAAACACTGCTGACGGCTTCTCTTAAAGCATTTTGATTCTTCAGCAATTGCGTTGAATTCGGGGACACTCCACCTCTTGCTGGATCCACTTCGCAGTCACAAGTTGCACTCGATGCTAAAATTGCTCGTACTGGTGGACCTAGGGTGTCCTAGAAAAAAAAAGAGTGCGCGTAAGGATCACACGCGATTGAAGTAAAACTTATTTGCTACTGTATAAAGTAGCAAGTTTAAGTTGAGTAAAAATAAATACATCATATAAAAATTTTGAATAATGTTTATTAGTAATATGGTAACACTCGTGATGCGCACATTTATTAGTGTCGTCAATCATTATACACATTTATATAATGATAAATTATAAATTATATATTTATGATTGCATTAAAAATATGTATCATATTTACAAACAATAATGTAATCAAAGTCGTATTTGAAATATGACATGATCGTTTTAAAGTAATTGCTGATTAATAAATTCTAAAATATTCATTCACACAGTGGATTATGTTAAACAACGCCTAAACAAATATTGTTTTTGCAAATTAACTCATCCTGTAACAATTGTGTTTGAAGAACTTCATGTAATTAAAATTAACATACATTCATTTACTGTTTGTATTTTTTTACTTTTTCGCTGTCGATATAATTTCATTCCTTGAACAGCTGTAATATCCGTCTTGCCTAACAAATTGAAGCCATACTTTTATATTTGTTTTATTTATCAAGCCCTGCACATAGATTGATCTATGAATAGGTGAAATTAACCTTTCAGATTCAGTATCTAGTTTAGGTAGATAATTTGGTATAGGTGGAAATACAAAACCGTTAAATTTACACAAAGTGGGAATTTTACCCGAATTTAATGCCTTTTGACAAGTTTGACATCCAACCTGATTATTTGAATCAATATTCAAAAAACATTATTAAGAATTTGTTTTTGAGCATTATTTGATATTTCTAAGTCACTTTGAAGCCAAAGTCGATCACACACAAAACATACATAGCCAAAGCTATCATTTCTTACGCAGCGCAGATTTTTCATATGTTTCATTATTTATTTGCGATCATTTGCACTACAATTATTTATGGGGGACGGAATAAAATATTCTTCCGATCCTGACATTTTTATTAACTCACGAATTATACTGCTAACCCATGTCGCGCCTAAAGAAGTTTTACTTCAAAAAATGTTTAGAGACTACTAGCTAAATAGAAAACTCAAGTGAAAGTCGACACATTTTGTTTTGTTTTTGACATATGATTTGACATTTGATGTATTTTTTGTTTTGCTCGCAGACTAGATCGAATAATTGCGATAACTAGCGTCGTAAGCGCGAATCATGCAAGCGATCACTTTACACCCATGTCGCGCCTAAAGAAGTTTTACTTCAAAAATAGTAATAGTAATAAATAGTCAGTAATAATAATAATAATGGGTGGTACTGCCCTAGGACAGACTCGTGATCAGATTTAAACTCTGCCTTATTAAAAACATATTTTTCATCTATATTTTCCTAAGAATGTGTTTTGTTAATTACCTGTAAGTACTGTTCGCCTGTAAGTTTCAAGAATGCTTCCATAGCTTTGGTTGCCAAAGAATTTCCTCGGAAGGTCAATCGTTGATCACCGACCCTTAATAAATCGAGAGATACCACATCTGCTAAAAAGGGTCCGGCTTGTCCTAAAGACTGCATCAATAAAACCATTGACGAAGCAATGTCTTCTTTGGCTTTCACACCTGGTAACAGAAAAGACACAATTTAATAAATTGTCTCATCTCCTAAACGGCTAGTAAGAAGTTCTAATTATTAATTTTATTGTTTTTTTTATCTTCCCTTAGGGTAGTTATAGTAATGGGCCGAAAATCGAAGATAACTAGTGGGGCGCATGGCATCGTACCTTAAGGCAAATTGCTGAAACTTCCCGTACCAAAAAAAAATTTTTTTTAAAAAAGATTAACATTTTTGAAAAAAATTTACTCTGAAAAAATTAGATTTTTGAGAAACTATAAGTTTTTGACAAAAAGTTACTTTTTTTAATAAAAAAAAAGACTTTCAAGAAAAATTTTGGAAATTATGAACTTTCTTTTCAAAGCAATCGTACTGCTTTAACTGCATAGGGACAAAATATAAAGCGCGTAAGCGCCGCGTCGCTGTCTAAAGCATAAGCATTGGTACGGAACCCATAGGAATGTTAACAAATTGTATACTTATTGTTAAAATCTCTATAAAATATCTGATATTTTGATGTGCATATGTCTAATGATCATTTTTGACCGCCAAATGGCTCATTTTTTTACTTTTTTCTCCATATCTCCGAAACCGCTAGACCTGCCTTCATGAAAATTTGATTTGTTCTTCATCTTGTTAAAATGTCTCTTAAAAACTGAGTTACCGTTTTTAGCACTTTTTGCCCCATATCTTCGGAACGGCTAGACATGCCTTCGCCAAAAACTAATCAGCACGTCTCCTTATCAATAAGAATCGAAAGTTTTTTTAATTATCCAAAACGCTTCATCCGTGTTGCCAAAATCGTCGACGAAAATTTGTATCCGCACACACACATACACGCACACACACATACATCCATTTTTTCTAAGGTATGCCAAAATGTTCAGAAGGTTTTGAAACGTAAAGATATATAAAAATTTTCATTTTCGATTTTTTTGCGATTACTATAACTTGCCCTACGGGAAGTTAAAAATTTTTGCATTTCTCGACGTTTTGAAGATTTCTGAACGTTTTGGCATACCTCACAATCAGAAAAAATGGACGTGTGTGTGTGTGTGTTTTATGTGTGTTTTGTTTGTTCGCATTTTTCGTCCACGTTTTCGGGCGCACGGATCAACTGATTTGAATGGTTTAAAAAACATTCGATTTATATTGATAGAGAGATGTGCTGATTAGTTTTTGACAAAGGCAGGTCCAGCCGTTACGGAGATACGGAGCAAAGAGTGCAGAAAATACAAATCGAGTTTTTGAGAGAACTGATTTGAATGATCTAAATAACATTCAATTAGTAATGATGGGAGAAGAGTGATTAGTTTTTGGCAAAGACAGGTCCCGCCATTTCGAAGAAGAGCTATTTGTACAAAAAATGACAGTTTTTGAGAGAACTAAGCGTCCGATTTAAATGATCTAAAAAACTTACTGTTTGTTTCAACAAAATAATTGCTTTTGGAAAAAAATGTTTCTAATTTTTTTTTAATTTTAGATTAAAAATTCAAAAAATTAAAAAGGATAAAAAATTATTACATCTTTTTTTATTTTCCATAAAATATTTTTGTAATTTTGGATTAAAAATTCAAAAAATCACCCAGGCTAAGCACAGTCTAAGTGCCACTCTGGTACAAATTTTCAGCCAAGTGCGTTTAGACTGTTTATGTACTGGAGCACTTTTCCAATTTTGTGAAAACTATTGGAAAATGTGAAAATGTCGCCAAGCTAAGCACAGTATAAGTGTAAATGCCGCACAGAATTATTTGCAAATGCGTTTAGACTGTGAACATACGGGAGCACTTTTCCAATTTTGTATAAATTAGGCAACTATGTTTTTTGAAATTGAATTCGAAATGAAATGACGATTGTTAATGTTCCAGGAGATAAATTGATTTTGATTTACATTTGACTTGCTCACTCAGATATAACAAGTTAGCAAAAATAATGAAAGTTACAGTATTTGTAATAATATATTTGAAAACGTTTAATATTCCTCGAATATTTCATTACGGTACGGGAAGTTTGAGCAATTTGCCTTAAGGCACGATGCCATACACCACTAGTTGTTTTTTCTATTTCCTCACCTATGACAGGTTCCAAGCTCTCGCACACCAGTTTATAATTTCTTCTCAAGTACTCGGTGAAGTTCTCGTAATCTGCAAGAGGCCTTACTCTTGTCGATTGATACCTTGCCTTCAATCTCAAGGTAGGACCATCTCTTTGACCAGAACTCGTGGTTGTACTTCTGGACAGACTTCCGCTGGCATTGAAATCTTTTTCTGATAAAATGGGATACCATCTTTCCGTGAAGTATCTGCCATCGAGTTCGTTCACTGGTATCCTGACTGAACCTAAGGGAGGAAGAAATAGGTAATTGATAGAATTGGATGGTGATAATAGATTGTTTATTCGTGTTTTGACTTACCGACTAAGATTTGTTTGTCCCTTTTTCGTTTTCGATCTCCTTCTCTGTAGACTTCGACTTTAAGTTCTTTTACATCTGTTGGTAGATCTGTTAAGTCGAAGAGCTCACCCCAGAATAATATTTCACCTAAAAATGTTAGAGAGATATAATGACCATTTTTTACCCCCAGACATCCATCTTTTATTAACTTCCACGGCAGTATGTTTTTAATAGCTCTTTTCATACTTATATAAGTTAATTGAAACAAATATATATGCAAACAATATTATATTACGATAGTATAATGATATTCCCAGAATAGGTGTATACAATTTGTATCTTTATGTAAAAATCAACGTATGTATTTAAGTCAAATAAAGCAAATTTTCAAATTAAAAAATTAAATTATTAACTTCCTGTAGGGTAGTTATAGTAATGGGCCGAAAATCGAAAATGAAAATTTTTGCATTTCTCGACGTTCTGAAGGTTTCTGAACATTTTGGCATACCTCAGAAAAAATGAATGTGTGTGTGTTTTGTATGTCCACATTTTTTTGTCTACGTTTTCGGGCGCACGGATCAACCGATTTGAATGGTTTAAAAAACATTCGATTGCTATTAATAAGGAGATGTGCTGATTAGTTTTTGGCAAAGACAGGTCCAGCCGTTACGGAGATACGGAGCAAAGAGTGCAGAAAATAGAAATCGATTTTTTGAGTGAAACGGATCATCCGATTTGTATGATCCAAAAAACATTCAGTTCGTAATGACAGGCAAAAGTGGTTATTAGTTTTTGGCAAAGGTAAGCCCATCGGTTTCGGAGATACAGAGCTAAATGTTAAAAAAATTGCAGTTTTTGAGAGAACTAAGCGTCCGATTTAAATGATTCATAGAACTTTCTGCTTGTTTCAACAAAATAATTGCTTTTGAAAAAAGAATTGTTTTTAATTTTTTTTTCAAAAAATATTTTTGTGATTTTGAGTTAAAAATTCAAAAAATCACCCAGGCTAAGCACAGTCTAAGCGCCACTATGGTACAAATATATTTGCAAGTGCGTTTAGACTATTTATGTACTGAAAAACTTTTCCAATTTTGTGAAAACTATTGAGAAATGTGAAAATGCCGCCAAGCTAAGCACAGTATAAGTGAACATGTCGCACAGAATTATTTGCAAATTCGTTTAGACTGTGACTATACGGGAGCTCTTTTTCAATTTTGTGTAAATTAGACAACTATTTTTTTTTTGAAATTGAATTCGAAATGAAATGACGATTGTTAATGTCCTGGAGATAAATTGATTTATGATTTATAATTTACATTTGATTTGCTCAGATATAACAAGATAGCAATATAAATAATGAAAGTTACAGTATTTGTAATAATATATTTGAAAACGTTTAAAATTTCTCGAATATTTCATTACAGTACGGGAAGTTCCGGCAATTTGCCTTAAGACACGATGTCATACACCACTAGTTACCTCTTGCTTTGGCAGCAGTCCTAGCATGCAAAGTTCCATCGAGCAGGACATCACAGTAATACTTTCTTTTCGGTGGTAAACATTTAGCTTCCAACAACCAAAGTTTTAAAGAGTTATCAGTTCTTGGCAGTTGATCAGCTGATGGTTGAATAGACTGTCGTAAACTGTAATAAATTTTTTTTTGAAAAATTCAATATCTTATTGCAAGTAGGGAATGCAATACCGGCATACCGGTATACCGAATTACCGGTAAACCGCCCGGTTTTTTGGCAGTATTTTTACCGGTATTTATTCCAAAAATACCGGTATTTTCGGTATTTTTACAGAAGCGCTATTTGATACATAATACCCTAAAGTTTAAGTTTCTCCCAACAAATTTATCTTTAAATTCCATAATCGCATAAACAGCTATATCTTCAAGAGATTCTATAAGATGAACAAATGTCAAATACTATTTCAACTCGTCATTAAACTGAATATTTATTGCTTTACTAAGGGCTTTATATCGTGTTATAATAAATAGAATTAGACTGATAGGTAATGATGTTTGTTTCATCTTTTGTAAAAATGTAACGGTTTTTTAAGTGATATTTGCGCCAAAATATTTTATATCATACAGATTACCCCTGCGCAATCTTTATTTTTTCCTAACTTTATACATAATCATTATGATAATTACTAAATATTTTTGCTTCTTATTACAATTATAAAATATTATTTTTCGAAAACGTTTCAAAGTTTGAAAATACTATAAAATCATCACATTGTTTTAAATAACAATACTCAACAATTATAGTAACTTATTATTTATCTCGACAAAGTATCCGATCTTAAATTAGTGTAGAAGAATTATTTTTTTAAAATATTAGAGATTATGCTAATTTAACACATCGGATACAGACAATACAGTTTATTATAATAATGTAATGCGTTCTTTTATGAGTTTTTGGTCTTCCCTACTCATAAGTTTGTTTTTGGTGAAAAGTACTCAATATACTCGATAGTGATAATACATTAATTAAATTGCATATGTTTTTATTAAATTATTATCTAAAAAACATAAACTTATTGTTTTATTTTATTGTTTAGTTGAATATAGTTGTAGTTGTATATACATTTTTTTTATATTTGTACTAGTAACTTTCAATTTTGTTTACGTTTGTTTAAGATAATAAAAATACCGGTAATTTACCGGTATTCCGATTTTAAAATAAAAAATTACCGAAATAACGGTATTGAAATTTTTCATCGGTATTGCATTCGTTAATTGCAAGTATTATAACTATTATTACCTGTGCATCCACAAGTCCCTTTCCTCTCGAGACGAGCAACAGAAGTACCTTGGTGGTCTTGAACCACCACGGACCTCAAAGCACCATTGTCTTCCAGCAACGCTGGCATGTACAGGGGCCACCACGACTTCACCGCAGCCTAATTCTAAAAAAATAATAAAACAAACTTGTCAGATTAAGGGGCACAATTTTCAAAAAATCGAATTTTAAATTTTTCCATATTTCGTTAGGTTATACATTTAAAAATAACATACCAAAATTTTAAATTGATATCTTAAATAGTTTTTGAGTCACAGCCATTTATACATATATATAGTATTATGTAGTACTAGCAAACCCGACGAACTCCGTTTCGCCAGCAGATGGTTTCGTGAGAAAGATGAAGAAATTTTTTGTTTGTTTTATATTTGAAAAGGAAATAAAAATTGAATTTAATTCGATTACAAAAATGAAGTGTTTTTTAGTTGAACTTCTCTAAGTAAATGAAAGTGAATCCGCAATTTATCCTTTTCATTGAAGTGCTCTGTGGTAAACCAAATTTTTTGTTTTTTGGTCTGACGTCGTTAACACAAACAAAGCGGATGGTTTTCCAACTCGTGAACATGCAACGTATAACTGCCCATGTGAAAAACAATAATTTTCTAAATAATCTATTTGAAATTTAGCCCGCAAACACTAAGCGATTGGCCTTGTGACTTGTTATTGCGAACTGGAAATTGCAATCGTTTGAAGTCAAACGGAAGACCAGTCGGAATCATTGGTATGTCACCAAAACGCCAGCAATTTTTTATTGAATGGTGAAATTCAATACGTGTACATCATTATTCTTTGCGGCAAGAATTGTTCGTTGATTTAACCAAGCATAATTCTAATAATTCTCGCTAATGTCATTACTCGAATTTTTAATTACGGTGCGTGAAGTTCCAGTAGCTTGCATTAAGGCACGATGCCATGCACAACTAATTTTCTTAGAGACCTTTCCAACGAATGTAAAATTGTCGAAGTCGGTTCGTGCGTTCTGGAGTTATTTCGTCAGGAAGGAAAATCCGACTTATTTTTATATATATATATAGAACATAACGATCATTTAATCTTTAAACGCGTTTTTCTCGAAACAGCATTTTCCGAATTTGCTGCAGCGATTACTCAAAAACAAATGATCCGATCACTATCGAATTTTTTTTACATGTTCTATATATAGTTCTCCGTAAAATGAACTATCGATTTTTTGATCGGATCAAAAATCGAATTTTGGCAGTCCAGAAACGACCAAAATTTGGGTATAATTCGACTTTTTTTAAAAAACGCTGTCATTTTGTCAATTTTTGATTTTTTTTTCTATATCGTAGTTCATTTTACAGACAATATTATCTAGTTTAACAAGTTTTTTTTTTATTTCATCCACGTAGAAGGCCGGAATCACTGCAACAGCGAAAGGGCTTTTTTTGTCGCGCCGTTGGAGATCGACGATAACTTAAAAAATATTTAATTTTTTTCTTCAAAAGTTTTACTATATATTCTTAAAACACGTGTAAATATATTCTTAAAATTTTGAAATGATTGATAAAGTAGTTTTTTCAATATAAATTCCCAAAAATCACCTTTTTTTAGACGGTTACACTAGTTGTGCCCCTTAACTATACCACTTACTTAAGTGAATTATTTTCCTACCTATTGTCGATAAAGCTGCATGTCCTCCGAGAAGGCTCTCGTGCGACCTGGAGCCCCTGAGTCCGCCCCTGGTGACCATCATCCCACCGTGCGAGGATGACATTGCGCCCCCTGAAGAAATCCCGCAGTTTTGGCCGCCCCTTCGGCACCTTTCTAGCTTCGTAACACTTTTCGTTCGTTTCAGAGGGTTCGAACGAAATGATCTGGAAAAAAAATAATAAGCGTCAAAAAGTGCATCACAACCATCAAGTATGAATTTTTTTCTAACAATGCTATTTTAAAGTAGAGGGCTGATAAAAGTGTAACCAGCCATCGCCAAAAATAATGTGGGGCAAAAAGTCCACTAGCACCTTATCTTAAAAACAAGTAATGTATGGAATTTTTTTTCTAACAATGCTATTTTAAAGTAGAGGGCAAAAACGGTGTATCCAGCCAACGCTTTAAATCGGGCGACATCTCGACTACGTCGACAAGTGTTTTTTTTGTTTTTAGTTTCTTTTCGGTTTTGAGCGCTGTTGTATAGTTTACGACACCTGAATATAATTTATAAACTTATATTGTTATTTTTGAAGCTAGATGCAACCGTTTTTTATATAATTTCTAGAATAGCTTACATGGGATTAGGGTAATGAAAATCGCCCTAAAAAAATGGTGAATAAAAAAGCAAACTAAGTTAAAAAAAGCAATATTACAAGAATAAAATTGAATTATGAGGCGTCCATTAATCACGTGATCGATTTTTTAAGGATTTTATGATCCCCCTCCCTCTTGATGATACATGGTGATCAGTGGCGTCGGAACCGTGTGGGCTTGAGCCCACCCATGAATTTGAATTTTGATGGGGGGGCTCAGCCCACCCATGAATTTCAAAAAATTATATGGGCTAATATCTCTCTAAAAAAAAAAAAACGAGACCACTGGCTGTCTATCTAAAAAAAAAAAAAAAAACGAGCCCACCCATCAAAAATTTGGTTCCGACGCCACTGATGGTGATATTCAAAATTAACCCCCGCCTTCCCCCAAAACATAACGTGCATTTTTACTTAGGAACAAAATGATAATTTTTTTTATTTTTTTTTTAATTTTTGGATTATTTTTTTCAAAAAATTCAGGTATAAAATAAATAATCAAAATTAACCCCCGCCTTCCCTCAAAACAACACGTGCATTTTTAGTTACGAAAAAATAAATGTAAAATTTTCGATTTTTTTGATAATATTTGGATTTTTAATTTCCCGAAGGAGAAGTTTATGTTTTCATCAAAAAATCCGATCCGCTAATTTTATGTTTTCTCGACGTTTCAAGCCATTCTGAATCGAATGAGACCAAATTTGGAAAAAGCATGTGTGTGTGTGTGCGTGTATGTGAACAGATTTTTTACCAGCTCGAAAACGGCTGGACCGATTTCAAAAATTTAAAAGCCACTCGATGTATCTCGATGAGTACTATTGTTTGTCAGTGTCAGTGCGACGATCGGCCAAGCCGTTTCTTTATAAATCGCAGAAAAGTGAAAAAAATTTCGTCTACGTTTTAGCCCGCAATTCTGAATCGATTTTGAAAATTTAAAAACCGTTCGAATGATATTGGTTGGAAATCGTGCTGATTACTTTTTGGTAGAGATCGGCCGGGCCGTTTTCTTGTAATAAAGTGTCAAAAAATTTTTTTTGATGATTTTTATTATTATTTTTTTGACGATATATACCATAGTCTTCTAGAAGATCATACTAAAATATAACGGCCCTACGACAACTCGTTTAACTTTAAAAATTCGTCATAGTTTGCAAAAATTGGTTTCGTTTTTTTGTCATTTGTCAAAATTAGACTTTTCATCGACGTTTTCTCAAAAACGCCTGAACCGATTTCAGAAATTTAAAAGCCATTTGAATATCTCAATGAGGACTATCGTTTGTCAGTTTTGTGAGACGATCTGCCAAACCGTTTCTTTGTAATTTGAAAAAAAAGTGTTAAACTTTTCGTCCACATTTAACCTCAAACTACCGAACCGATTTTAAAAAATCAAAAACTGTTCGAAAGATATTAGTTGGGAATGATACTGATTAGTTTTAGTTGAAAATCTACCGAGCAGTTTTCTTGTAATTAACTGTTGAAAAAAAAATTGAAGCCGATTTTTATGGAACTTTTTTGGCGATATACATCATGGTCTTATAGAACTTACTGAATTATTACGGCCTTACGATAAGTAGTTTAATTTTAAAAATTCATCAAAGTTTGAGAAAATGAGTAGTTTTTTTGACGTTTGTTAAAAATAAAATTAGATGATCTACTTGCTTGGTCTTAATGAACATACTAAAACATTAACGTTCTACGGAAACTGGTTCAAATATAAAAATTGTTGATTTTTGAAAAGTTGCTTTTAGAAAATACTCCGATTTAACGTGTTCGTCCGTTTTCAATTATGTGTAATAAATCCACTCGGAACACTTCTAATCACTCCTCAATTAATTTACTGTTTATTGATCAAGTCGATTATTTACACATATCGGGAAGTTCATGTAACTTGTCTCAAGGCTAAATACCAATACCAACTAGTTAATTATATTTTATCCTCTATTACTATTACTATTTTTACCGTTTAGAAAAGAAACTGGCCAGTCTGCTCGGCGTGTGCTGTTGTTCCTGTTTGGTTTGTTGTGGACTATGACAATCCTGGCCCTGATTCGGCCCTGTCGAGGGCCTCGACCCCAACACAGGTGTCGCAGGGGCCGATCCGCGCCTGCATGCCTTCTCGTAGGAAGTATCTGAAAATTGAAAAAAAACTTGAATTATTTTCACACTCAAATTTGTTTTATGTTTTTTCAATATATTATACAAGAGCGATTTTTTATTCGTTATACCATTTGCCCAGTGGCGTCGGAAGCAAATTTTTGATGGGTGGGCTCGTTTATTTATTAGACATTTTAGACAGTATATTTTGAGATAGCTTAAGTCCGCCCAGCCCACACGGTTCCGACGCCACTGCATTTGGCAACACTAATTTAATATGTTTTACTTATGGTAACACCAACAACTTCAGTAATATTTAGGAAAGCGATTTTGTAATTCTAGTACTAATTTGTAATAAATACTTATATGAAAATTAAGAAAAAACAATTAGCATTTATAAATAATATAAGTTATATTTATTTTATTATTATTTATTGTTAATTATTTTAAATTTAATGTTTCAGCAGCTAAATAGATGATTTAATTATAATTATATAATATACCAACAAGTTGTGAAGCTCAGAGCGATTTTTATTATCATTTTAAAATTTATATTTATAAATCACTTTTGTAACATGTAAGATGATGTAATTTTTGTTTAATAATAATTTATAATATTTTTTATGAATTTTTAATATATAATATAATAATTGTTTGATAATAATTTATAATGTTTATAAACTTTTTTCATTGTATAAGAATTAAAACAAAAACAATTGATATTTATAAATAATATAAATAATATAATTTTTTCAATAAACTTTAACCCTTTCCACTCGGGCATTTCAAAACTTGTATGTTTTTTGTTGCCTGAGCGGCTGCATACAAGTGGAAAGGGTTAATAATGTAATATTTTCGTTTATTTTTTCTTATTTTTTAAATAATAAAAAATATTTCTTTCAAATTAGCATTAAAATTAACTAGTTAAATTTATTACGGATTAGTATTGTCTGATGTATTAGTGTTACCTGATTTAATAGTGTTACCTGATTTAATAGTGTTACCTGATTGTGGTAATAACAAATATTTTGTGCATATTAAAAAAATAACTTTTAAATTAATGAAAAATTACGAATATACCGTTTTTTCAATTAAATTATTTTTGAATTTCATAAATAAAAATATACAATAATAATCAGCCTATTTAAATATGAAAAAATATAACATCATAGTTTACATAAAAAATGTAATTCATATAAATTTCATAAAATGAAAAAAATATTCATTACAAATTTTTATTAAAATTACAAAATACTCTTAAATGTTACAAAAGTTCTTACCTTATGTAAAATTTGTTATGAATTAGTGTTGCCTGATAAATATGAAAAAATATTTCGTTATAGTTTATAAAAAAATGCAATTTATATAAATTGCACATAAAAAAAATATTTATTACAAATTTGTATGTTGTATGTATTTGTATGTTATTATAAGTTGTCAGTGTTGCCCTAAGTAAAATTTATCATGAATTAGTGTTGCCTGATGTGTAAGTGTTACCCGATTTAATAGTGTTACCTGATATTTTATAGTTGACAAACTTTCAATAACAAATATATTACAAATATTAAAAAATTAACCACTTTGAATATTTAGGATAAATAATATCCTCTTTATTGAACGCTTGCCCTGACTTGACTGAAAATTCATTTCTGTTAAATAGATATTTGCATTATAGTTTTTCTACACATGCACACACACACACTATTAATAAACACATCGATATATATATATATATATATATATATATATATATATATATACAAGTATATATAACGGTGCAATTCGTGTGGAAATATTATCGGAGCGTGAACTATTGTATTTTACGGACAAATAACTTGACTTTGTGTATATATATATATATATATATATATATATATATAACCATAAAATTACACGAATAAAGATAACCATCAAAACAATTTTAAAACAATTACAAAATCATAAATCTCAACACCATTTTTTGGTCGAGAACAAAGAGATCTTGTATGAGATAATAAATAAACGTGTTATGTCTATTAGCATTTTTATGGCGCAGTTTATAATTATAATTCGTTTAATATAATTAATTAATTATACAAAAAATTAGTGCACTTAAAAAAAACATTTTGCAATAAAACCGATGTTTATTTATAAATAGATTTATTTAAAAAGCAAGAACCATTATATATTGACAAAAGTATAATGTTTCATAGAGTTTTCATATTTTTAACTCAGATTCGTCGTTTTTTCTTTATAAATATAAAGGAGTTTTTTCTTCACAGTTTTTCGCATTTTTCCAAATAGTTGTTTTTTAGTAGTTTTTAATTTCAACAATTCTTTTAACTATCTTTTCACTTCCGTAAAATCTAAAACTCCTAATAATATTGTTCACAAAATAAATTGTAACGATTGTAACTGATGTTATATTGGCGAAAGTATATATTTACAAGAGAAATTAAATATATTTACAAGAGGGTAGATCAACATATCTGTAATTCTATAAAAGAACAATTAATTTAAAATATTATAAAAATATTTAAATTTAAATCATACTTTTATTACTAAGTTTGCCATTATTTTGCATAAAGAAAAAAGTGTGATCTTAATAAATATGCTGAATCTTTTTCTGTCATTTTAAATCCTATTCTTGTAAATAAATGTGATTCTGCACTTTTAGTACATAATTCTTACCACAATAATATTATTATTTTTATTATTATTTTGTACATTTTAATAACAATCTGTCACACTTAGGCCATTCAGTAATTGTTTTGACTTTATTATATGGATTTTTGATTGGATGGCAACTCAGTAGTTGCCCAATCTAATTATGACTAATTAACTAAACTCAAACATTTTTATTAACACAATATTATTAATTATTTTAAAAAAAATCTTCTAATTTCTTAAAAGTTGTGAACCTTTGTCATTTTCGTTTTATTTAAATACTTAAACTTTTATTAACTTTCATTTGTTTGCATCTTTATAAAAAGTTTTTGTTTGTTTTTCTTCTACCATTGATAATATTGAAATTCGACCCTGCATCTACTTTTGTGAACCCTTTTGTTTCTACAAGTTCGTTTTTCATACATAATTTGTCAATCACGTGACTAACTAAATATTTTTATTATTTGTCTTTTAGTTTACTGATTTGTTTTTTCATTAAACAATGTCTTTAAAATTGGAGTGTTTTTTCCTGGCTTTTATTGGATATATTTATTTATTATATCTTCTAGTATTCTTACAGTTTTTCTTAAACTTTTTCACATATATTTCAGAATTTGTCTAACATGCTGAATGGTGATACAAATACTGTGTCGAAACGTACATAATAATAATAAATAGTTAATTAACTATTGTTTTTTATTTCGACTTTACGGTTGCAAATAAGAGCAAAAGAAATATAAGCAATGGTTATTTTGATATCAAATATTAACGAAGAATTAAATTTAAATGATCGAATAGATTTATATATCCTATTACTTTTAAGAGTATAAACAAAATTTTTAGAAAATTCCATATATCTAATTTAATTTTCCTAAAATTGCTTTTGTCATACTCACATTCGCATAAAAGTTGCAAGAGCAAAAGAAAAATATAATTAAACTATTATAATTTAATTTTTAAAATAGTTTATTATATATATATATATATATATATATACATATATATGTGTGTGTGTGTGTGTGTTTACTGATTCTTTCAAGGATAAAAAGATCTGTGTTGCAAATGAGAAGACAACTATTCTTAATTGTATTAATTAAAACTATTCATTATGCTGGTATGATGCATGGATATAAATAAAAAATTGCATACATATGAATAAATATATGTACATTGACATAAAATTATAAAATAGCACATATTATATACACACACTATAAAATAACTCTAAATAGTATCATTTATTTATTAACTTTCCGTAGGGTAAAATATTGTAATCATCCAAAAATCTAAATTGAAAATTTTTGTTTATCTTCACGTTTCAGAGATCTCTGAACGTTTTGGCATACCTTAGACAAAATGGTAGTGTGTGTATGTGTGGATACAAATACTCGTCGACGATTTCGGGCGCACGGATCAACCTATTCGATTCCTATATGCTCGTATGAGCTGTTAGTAACAAACTGTCAAAAATGTATTTGCTGTGCATTTAGGCGCTTTACACATATAATCTAACCTCCAAAACGCACAATCGTCAAATAACAATTTTACCATAAGTGCAACTTTCTTATGTCACCTAGTTAACACATACTTGAAGTTATCCAAAGTTAATTTTCTCTATCCTTTTGGAGGTTAGATTTTATGTGTAGAACTATTTTCACATCAAACTCCTTGAGGAAGTTATACTAACATACTCTTATAAATAATAGAATATAAACTTTAAGTTGTTTAACGAGTCTGACTCGCCTGTTACGAATTTAATCAAAACTTATTAGTCATTTTATAATTCTAGGGATATGATATAAGAGAGAATATTCACAGAACAAATAAATAGGAATTAGATTAGAAAGTTGTTGTATGTTGTATATGATATGTTGTACCACTTGTTGTGAGATATTACATATATATATATATATATATATATATATATATATACACGTATATGGCTATTAAATTACCATTAGCATAATTTTTTTAACCATCGTATTCAAAGCATCTTAATAGGTCAAGTTTTTTCAAGAACTGTCGTTACTCATGATTATATATATACAGGGTATCCCAGAACTCAACGTGAAGACTGAACGAAATTAATCATAACTTACATGGAAAAAATAAAAACATAGAAATTCAAGAATTCTTCTAGAATTATGAGTTTTCAAGTGCAACCTAGAATTTTCGTCAAACTGTGATCAATTTTCCGACATTGTGATAATTTATTTCTGATTTTTTTTTCTGTTTCGGCTTGACGTTGAGATCTTGGACACCCTATGTGTAAAGAATATTTTTTTAACTTTCCGTAAGTTATAGTAATCGCAAAAAATCGAAAATGCAAATTTTTATATATCTTTACGTTTCAACGGAGCGTCCGATTTGGATAATTCAAAAAACATTT